CGCACCTGGGAAGTAACTGTTTCTGATCTAGAATCACCAGGGTGTCTTCATTCTCCTTTCCCCAATATACTTATCTTCATTGCTATAGCTGGCACTGTGGCACCCTGGGCCAGACCTTCATCCTTTTACCCCAATATTAATTGAAGAATAATTCTTTGTTGTAGAGAGGCTGTCATGTGCATTGTGGGATACTTATTAACATCTCTGCCCTCTACCCACTAGAGGTCAGTTAGCATGCCCATTCTGGACTTGTGACAACCAAAAAAACGTCAAATGTCCCCTGGGAGGCAAAAATGACCCCCTGTTGAAAAATCACTACTTTAGACTGGCAACCAATTACCTCTATTAAACATTAATTCCTCAAATTTCTCCAGTCCTTTAACTGTTTATTTCAAAATCCATTCTGCCAGATTCAGTCAAGAACATGCAATGTTTACTTTGCATTGCTCCTTTGCACAGCTCAAAATGCCCTTCCTCTCATCCTCTTCCAGTCTGTCTCTTTATTCCTAGACACAGTCAGCTGCAGCAGGAAGACCTCTATGATTAATTTTATACCTTCATATGATCACTGCATTTTGTTGACATCTTCTCTTCTTAGCATCCTTCATGGTCTTTGTTTCTCTTCCTATGGCTTAAGCGTTGATACTCTTCAGTGTTCTGCCTCCATCTTTATTTCTACTTAACCTGACTTCTACCAGGATACGACCTTCTATTGCTTTCACTTCACCCTTTGTAACAATGACCACCATCATCCCAGCTCCACATCTGTGTTCCCTGGGTGACCTATCTCCTGAACCTTTAACTGTTTTTTCCTGCTAATTACACGACTCCTGCAGAAAAGCCTACAGACCTTTCAAGGACACTAGGTCCAAAAAAAAGTTCATTTTCTTCCTTTAGCAAACTCTTCCTCCAATCTTCTTTTCTTAATAAATCACATTATGATGCATCCAAATACCAAAAAATAAGAACCTCTGAATCTCTCTTACCCATTTCAAAAATATCTGTCTCTTTCTTCCCATTGCTCTAACTCAGCCCAAGCCCATTCTGCGGAAGTATCTGGTACCCTTGCTTCCAGTTTGTTTCTTCTCTGGTTTAACTACATCTTTTACTTTCCTTTAAAACAGCACCCTGTCCACAGGTCTTTGACAGCGTCCCATTGCCTGGGATCTAAACTCTATAGTATGTTATGTGGAACCTTCACAACTAGGCCACAGCCCACCTTTCTAGCCTCTATTTTCCCTTTGCACGTCCATCCTTCTAGCCATACCAGTTCATTCATTATTCACTAACATGTTCCCTGTGTCTCTCACTCAGGATCCAGTGAGAAAATGGAAGCCAGATTAGGTATTTTAACTGAGAGAATATAAAAGGAAATGGTTAAAACAGGTATTTTAGAATTTAAAACTAGAGGACACTGAAGTAACTCAGAGATTGTAACTGTGTAAACTATCACTCTTGGGCTGAGGGATTACAGGGAAGAAGATGGGGTTATTAGAAACAAAAGTTTGGAGGAGAGACCCCACAGATCTGAGGAGGGTAGTATCTTTCGAAATGCTGAGCAGGGGCCCCTTGGAGCTGGACCTCAAACCTCTAAGAAGGAATGCTGCCAGGTTGGTGCAGGAACCTCCAAGGGCGAGACGAAGCTGATTCTGAGAAAGCCGAGCCCCGAAACCAAATGCTGCTGTTGGGATGAAGGGCCTTTACTGGGGCAGCACTGTTAGGAAGAGCCATGAAACAGGAAAACGGAGATGTCTTCCTCCTTCCTTTTACCTTCTCTGCTCCCTCTAGTGATCCCTGCGGGTGGAGGAAGCCAGGAGACAACTTGCAGGGTTCCAGCCTCAACATCAGAAGGAAGGGTGGGTTTAGAATTGAGAAAAAAATTGCTTAATAACCAACGCAGTGCTGTTTCACGTCTCCTTGCCTTCCTCGTATGGTTTCTCCATCATAATGCTCTTCTACCGATATCTGCCTGATGCACGCCTCTGTTCAAATACACTCTCCTTCCTTTAAGTTCTCTAATCTTCCCCCAAGTAATTATTTACACCAGCATCTGAGTTCCCCTGGCAGTTTGCAAACACTTCCTTTATAGTATTTTTTTATATTGTATCATAATCATTTCTGCATATATTCATTGGTTTGTTTGTTTTCTGCCAAATGTGACCTCCTTTAGGGCAGGTAGAGCTACAACCATAAAATCTAGCCGAATGCCTGGCACACAACAGATATGCTGGGTGAGCTGGACGGATGGAATTGATAAGGGCATTTTAGTGAATTAAATATTAGATCATTTCTTGTACATATTTTATCTTCTCAACCAGGCTTGAACTCCATAAGAATAGAGAGCATGCTTTATATTTCTTTTATTTCTTCGTAATACTTAGTACAAGGTTTCATATGCTGAAGACGAGCTCAATGATATTTGTTAGCCACGTAGTTTATTCATGAAGCACAATTTTGGTTCAAAATGACATGACGATGGAGCATAAGTTTATGAATAGTAGGTAAGGTCTCCAGTTAGGTTTATATGGATTTCTAGCATGTAATTGCAACAGTGTTCGGTGCACATGGTCCTGTTCTTTTATCTGTTGAAAGAATAGCACAATCAAGAGACCACATGTAGCATGTCTTAGAGGAATTCTACAGTAATGATATATATTCTAGGTTTCTTTTTCCTGTTTATCTCTTACAGCAAATATATTCCCCCAATTCATGAGGTTACATCTGTTCCTTGTGTATTTATTAAATTTATCAAAATCATGATTAACCAGTAGATTATTTAAATGTAGGAAAAGTATTGAATTTTAACTTAATCACCAACTTCTTGAAAAAACAAAACCTCTGCTCAATAACTGATTTATATTCAGGTCTAAGAAGAAGCAAATAGCTCTTTTTTTTTTAAGGAAGTGATATTTAATTAACTATTGATTTCTTCTCAATTATTCAAGGCAAGCAATTATCGATATTGATGGAACAGATATTTCCCTACCCCCAGTGCCCAAATGAAAGGAAATATCCCATTCAGCAATCTGCTGCCTGGAACAAGAAATGCCAAGAATCCTTAACTTTAAATGAAAACAGTTATCTGGATCTGTTTATTCCATGTTGTCCCAATTAAACAGATATTTCCTGAAGTGTAAGCAAAACAAAATCCTGAAAACCTATGTATGCTTTCCAAATTAACAACAGCCAAAAAGAAAAAAAGGAAACAAGAAAGAAAAAAGAAAAGAAAAGAAAAAGAAAGAAAGAAAAAACAGAAAGACAGAGTTTTGTCAGTTTTGACCATGATCTAAACACTTCTAGTCTTGGCTTCTTGACAGTCTTAACCATGACTCATAAAATACTATAATTTGGGTCTAATACTTATGATTTTAAAACCATCCAATGAGGGATAGCTTACATAATCATTAGCTCTATCATTTATAGCTGGAACACCACCTTGTGTGTCAAGATTTTGAGCCTGAAGGATTTAGTAGGCCTAATTGTCACTTCTGACACTTACAAATAGCAAGTGTGGGTACATGTGAAAATTACACCAATACATTATGCACCTGTGTTAGAAGTCTCCAAGGAATTGTGTGGGAGGTGGTGAAACAGGGCGCTGTTAGGCCACTTTGTTATTAACTCTGGGAGCATCCACCACCATTTCCTTCTCAGCTCATTAGCACACAGAGCATTAGCATGTTATATATACAAAGCTCCTTTTGAAAAAGACATGACTATTGAACATGAGAATGGGTAAGGCAACATTCTCCATTGTATTACTTGGGGGAGAGGGGTTATTTTTTTTTTAAATACTTTGCATTTGATGAGAAGTGTGTGTGTGTGTGTGTGTGTGTGTGTGTGTGTGTGTGTGTGTGTTTAATTCATGTGGTACCCCTGGGGAAATTTGACCATGACACTTTTAAAAAATGAAAAATATTATAATTTACAAAAAGCTCCTTTTTCTGCTCTGCTCTCACAGCCCATTCCAGAATGGGTCTACATATTAAGTGCTTAAGCAGCATATGTTGCTGGGAAGTGTTCTTGGCTCTTTTACTCTTTGTTGTTGTTTTAATTTCCCTGGGTTCTATTTAACATTCTGCTAAATCAGTGAAACCTTGATTATCTAAAAGAATAGGAAACATGGAATTAATGAGGATAACCAGGACTCTGAAGAAATAAGAAATTATTGGAGATGAAAGTTACATGACAGGGACAACGAATGAATGTTAGTCTCTGGAATTGCTTGTCCTCATTTATGCAAACTGATGCTGTGAATTGATGAAAAGAATGAAATTTTGGTAATCAGGGTTTCACCATTGCATTTATTATTATCCCCGAAAACCATGGTAACCTTGGCCTCTACTTCCCAAATTTGCAAGACAGTATAACTCGTAACAGGCTGTCGGGAGCAGTGACCCTCTTCCTCACACTCCTGTGAACCAGTTTTCTCTCTTCCCATCTGGCTGCCGCCTGCCTGCAGCATGCTGCCTGCCCTGTCCCATCCCTTCCTTCTGGTGCCGGCTCCTGTCCTCATGCATGCAGCAGCCAGCATCACCGGCAGGGAGACTGGCACACCCCTTAGAGGTTCTTGGTCATTTTAGCAATACTGCTTTGCATTTTAATTACCATCTTCTGGCTTCAAAGTTCTGCATTCTTGTATCGGGCACTTGTCCTTTAAAACCCCCGAAGGTCACCACAGGTCCCACTTCCCTGAAGAGAAGCAGCTACTGCCAAACCAGGAGTATCACGTTACTTTGTAGTCCATAGCCTGAAATGGACAATGATAACATCCCAGATTGCAGCAAAAATCTATATGAAAAGAACTAATGTGATGAAAACAAAGGCAGCAAACTACATTTGTTTGGAAATTGGAGTCACATGCTTGGTTTGTGGCCGGGAGGGGGGAGGGCAAGATCGATAGAGATTTTTTTAAAGCTGAAAACATGATGTACCAGATGAACTTAAATTGATTCTGCTTGTCCTCCCCGCGCCCCGCTCCCCTCCCCCTCGTTCTGCAGCGAATGTCTGCGACAACGAGCTCCAGCACTGCCAGAACGGAGGGACGTGTCACAACAACGTGCGTTGCCTGTGCCCGGCCGCTTACACGGGCATCCTGTGCGAGAAGCTGCGATGCGAGGAGGCCGGCAGCTGCAGCTCCGACTCCGGCCAGGGCTCGTCCCCGCATGGCCGCCCGACGCTGCTGCTGCTGCTGCTGACCGCTGTGCTGGTGACAGCCGGCCCCCTGGTGTTCTAGGAGGCGCGCCCAACCCCCAGACGGGCCTGTGCAGTGGGGAAGCAAACACAACCCAAGCATTTGCTACTAACTAACATAGGAAACACACACGCAGACACCCCCACGCAAACACAGTGTACTAACTAAGAAGGTCTGACTGAACTAAGCCATATTTATCAGCCGTGGACAGCATAGCCGAGTCAAGACTGTTAATTTCTGACTCCAGAGGAGTTGGCAGCTGTTGATATTATCACTGCAGATCACATGGCCAGCTGCAGAGCTCATTGCCGATTGGAAAGGCTGGGACAGCCCCCCAAACAGGAAAGACAAAAACCAAACACACAAAAAATAACAAATCAACCAACCTAACAATATTTGCTACTATCACGTGGTGCGCCCCAGTACCACTTGGCCCAGTGCCGTGGACCAACCAAATAGGAGTGTTCTTTGCTGGCAGTGCATTGTGGGTATAAGGACACCAGTTACAAGCTGCCATATTGGCCTGCTTCAGTCCCTGAATCCCTTCCAACCTGTGCTTTAGTGAACGTTGCTCTGTAACCCTTGTTGGTTGAAAGGTTTCTTTGTCTGATGTTAGTAATGCACATGTGTAACAGCCCCCTCCAGAAGCTCAAGCCAGTCATAGCCTGTATATCTTTGCAGCACTGAGGCATTCCAGTGCGAGCACACATCCACTGTCCAAGAGTGGCGCTAGGTAAAAAGAAAGTGTATCTATCCTTTTGTATTCAAATGAAGTTATTTTTCTTGAAATACTGTAATATGTAGATTTTTTGTAATCTTGCCAATTTGTGTTACCAGACAATCTGTTCATGTATCTAATTCGAATCAGCAAAGACTGACATTTTACTTTGTCCTCTTTCGTTCTGTTTTGTTTCATTGTGCAGAGATTTCTCTGTAAGGGCAACGAACGTGCTGGCATCAAAGAATATCAGTTTACATATATAACAAGTGTAATAAGATTCCACCAAAGGACATTCTAAGTATTTTCTTGTTGCTTTAACACTGGAAGATTTAAAGAATAAAAATTCCTGCATAAATGATTTCAGGAATTTGTATTGCAATTTCTTAAGATGAAAGGAGCAGCCACCAAGCAGTTTCACACTCACTTTACTGATTTCTATGTGGACTGAATACATTCAGCTGACGAATTTAGTACCCAGGAAGATGGAATGATGTTCACTAGCTTGGACAACTTCTGCAAAATATGAGACTATTTCCACTTGGGAAAATTATAACAGAAAAAAAAAAATCTAAGTGATTGCCAAGATTATGCCAAAGCCTGTTGGCAGAGTATTAAGAGACTTTTATTTTTAAGTCATGCTATTTTCACAGATTGATATGATCATGTGACTCTAGGGATGGTGATCTATGTATCTTTCCAAATACAGTGTTTACATGGAGTATCATAAGAGGCAGTATATGATGGGGAACTAAGGAAGTGGCAGGGACAATGAGTATTAGCAATTTGACTTTGAATATATTTAGACTGAGTATTTAGACGAAATATCAAATACACAGCAGCAAGCAGACATAACTGCTGTTCCTGAGAATAAAGTTTGTTTTAAGTACCGCCCAAGGTGTAATAAATTCTTGTTTCTGCCTTTTATTAGGCCAATTACTGTGCAAGGCAGCACGGGGAGGAGGGTGGAGGGAGAACCATTGCAAAGCTTCAAGGCGGCTGAAACAGTGTGTGTTCCCTTCCCAGCACACTGCTGTCCTACAGGTTACAAATGTGTCAGCAGCAGCACCTCCTGGAATCAAAACCAATTATCAGCCCAAGCCAGAGTCTTAAGGACAATGAAGTCCTACAGGACTTGGTAGAGCAATAACCTATGATAGTGTTAGGTCGGAAGGCTACTGCCGGGCTGAATCCTTCACCCTGTCGCCACTCCCTGCTGAAACAGGCACTGGAAAATGTCCTCCGATAAATAACCTGGCTAAAAACTAGATGAAGGAACAGCTTGTCTTATTGGTTTTATTCCCAGAAAAAGCCAATTCAAAGCAGGCAATAAAAGGTAAACAAGTAGTAATGCCTGTGCTGCCTGCCACCCCATGTCTAAGTCAATTGAATGTTTGTTATTCAAATCGTCTCTTTTGATGTAAGAAATAAGAAAAGATGGGAAGAAATTAGAGCCCTCGCTCCGTGCCAGACTAGCCAACCAGAAATCGGAGATTTACATTTGAAGTATAAACAGCAAATTATATTTCAGGCTCACCAAAGAAGACCCATGAAAATGCCAATACCATACAGAGTTTGAGATTACTTATAATGAGGTGGATTTCTAATATTAAAATTGGAATTTAAGTTGTCTTATAGTTTATTAGCATAAACCAAAGGCAGACCGTGTGATTTCTAGCCACGAGGCACTTTATCATCATCCACTCCTGGCTTTGTCACAATGCTCAGGAATCAGACTGCACATCTCAATACGTGGGATTCTGAAAGCGCATTCTAAAATTTAATGAAGGCCTGATGGAAATCAGTTCACCTGCATTTTATCTTTATGGAGCTATAAGAATCTAAATTGATGAGGGATATCTTGCGTTCAGTGTATTTAGAGATAGTTTTCTGAATTTCCTGAGGTGATGTGATCTGCTTTTAATAAAAACTCACTTTTAGGCATATCATCAGTGGAAATAAAATGTCCTTTTTCATCTGGATTCTCAGATTCCTCTAAAAGGTGTGTTCCTTTGAAGAAACCCCAACTCCGAGGATCCTATTTGCTGCTTTCCAGCACTCTTACAAAGCTGATGTCATCTACAATATTATGTCTTAAAAAAGAGTTGGGGTAAAATCTGGGTACTAAGTTATTCACACGCTTAAGGTCTTAATTCTTGCTTGGTCTCTACTTGGATCAACCTTTAAGGTGGATGAATATAGTCTTGTATACGAGCTAATTTACCGAGTTCACCACAAAGTCAAAACGCGATTCTGCCCATCAACACCATTGATGAGAATAAGACTTCAAAGAGATCTTTGTCCAATGGTTCAGCTCTATGGAAAGTGTTGACATTTATAAGAAAGTGATTAGACTGCCCTGCCGTGATGTGGGAGTGATTTGTTTCCCACCCCATACAGTCTAGAAGAGTAACCTCAGCCCAGCAAAGGGGAGCCCTTGCTTAGAGGGGTGCAGTCTGCTCCTACTCTCACTTTGTCCCAGTAGCCGGGACCCTAGAATTTCCTACCAGATGTTCTCCACTCACTCTTAGGGTGCATGTGCACCTCTTCTGGGGGTCCCAACACCTGAAGTAGGCAGCATCATGAGTGCATAAGAGGCGGCAGAAGCTGGATGTGTGTGAGTAGATTAGTGACTTGAGCCTGGGAGTACACACTGAGGAATTCATATGTAAGTGAGAAGAGGCCCCTTGCAGTGAAAACCAGAGCTCAGGGATGGAAAAGAAGGGGCTACAGGTGGGAGCGAGGTAGGCGAGGCTGCTCAGGGCCGGGGTCCACTACAGAACTCTGAGCAGTCTAAACATTCTAAATCTCTACCTGGGTTTCCAATTCTTATCAAAGCATTGGTGTCAAAGTAGCAGGATGGAACATATTTTATTTAACACTATATTAGCTTGATGTATAACTTTTAAATATTTAGACATACGGTGTATGGGTTTTCATTGGGACTTTTGTCCTGGCCCCTGCCTGGTGGATCTCCCTGGACATGCCCTTGAGGTACACTTGAGTCAAATTGCTAAGTGGCAACAAATTACTCACCCAAGTGACATAAAGAAAGGTACAGGTTGGAGAGGGCATACGGGCCACAGTTTGATGGTTCCTATAGTTAATGTCTGCCTCACCTCTTCTTGGACCTGTGGCCTTACTGGAATGTAAGAACTTCTGGATGGACTGGGCGTAGCTGTGAGGAAACTCTGTCCCATCACCTTCATTCTCCACCATCAATAACCCAGTATTATGGGGATATAATGACTCTGTATTCTGAAATGGATGCTCTGTGCTATCCGGGAAACAGGTTGTTGTACTTCACCCATTGTTAAATACTAAATAAAATACCTGTTTAACAGTTTCTCTGCTCACAGAATTGCATAGAATATGCTGGAACTTTGAACTCCATGTTCTATATATTTACATACGGGACTCTATGTATTTATGCTCTGGTGCAACTTAAACTCCTCAGCTTCAGAAATCTTCAGAATTCCTTACCCACCATTTGTATTCCCAGTCTTATTGACAGGGATGGCAACAGTAGTGATGAAAAGCTGCATCTTAGAACAATATAAATAACCTGGTAAAATTCTAGGATTTTTTTTTTTTTTAGAAAATCCAAAAGGACGGACTTAATAATATATAAGAATGAACCATATAGATAAGGAACACCCCCCAGAGTTTTTATCCAAATGTCTGGCTGTAAACAATTCTTTCTTTGCCTCAGGACTAGATTCTAATCAATTTTTTTTCTAATAAATATCAAATGTTCATCTGGCATAAATTTTGTAACAGTTCTGAACATTTCCATACAGAAAAATATTTACTTTTAACTATATTTTAAATTTTTTACACCAAAAGTAGTTTTTCCCTTTACTTAACTAAAGCAGATGCCAAGAAATGCCCAGCAAAAACTGCACATATACAAAATATGATGTTGCAAAGAAGAATGCCAACTATCATATTTTGAATTTTCACCAACAATCTTGGGAACATGGAGAACTTTTATTCTTCACAACACCTTGTAAGTTGTGACTCACATATTACCATCTTCATTTTGCATCTGAAGAATCAAATAACTAAGAAACAAACATACATCTTGTATAAATTATTATTGCATTTAACTGAGAAAATAACATCTGTGAAATACTTATATTAACATTGAAAAAAGTGAGCTTATTTGAGCTCTATTATGGCAGAAAAATTCTGCTCCTAATACATTTTTAGAGTAGCTTCTGAAACAAGTCTATCAAAACGTTTAAATGATTTTAGGAGGTGTTGTTTAGATTTGTATAACTAAGCATTTAACGAATGCCGAAATTCCCTCTCTGCCTTCTCCCATCATCCAAGAGTTCTTTTTAACTGATGGTTGAATTAAAATGTAGTCATAACATTTAAAATTGTGATGTTTTTGTTAACCTGAAATAATAGCTGGAAAAATGGGCCATTATTCTGTGAGACCTAATTATGTTAAAGTGAAGATGTAGCTAGACTGGCTGAAGCAAGCTACATTGAATTGGAAGTAAAAATAATCCCCATTTTCTTAGTCCCATTTTTTTCAGAGGTGTCACTTATAACTATTATTTAATTAATGAACTATGAATTGTATGGAGGAATAAAAACTGACTGGAAGAAAGAAAAAATAATTACTACCCCTCCTATGTCTGTCTGAATAGATTCAAATTCCTGCGTGGCAAGGATGTGTCAAGTTACGCTGAAGACGTAATGTGCCATGGTGTGTATCCTCCAGCCGCCCTGCCCTACTAGTCCGACATTATAGCTTTGCTCTTACAAGAGGTAGTCATTCTAATCTAATAAAAGAAGGAAAATGGCAGAAAATCACACACCTGAAGTCCTGTTAAGAATAGGTGATTCTTTTTTGCCCCAGGCAGGCAAGAACATAATGTCATTTTTGTTCATTTGTATTTGCAGTCTGAAGGAGGGCCAATCCTGTGGGGGAATGGTTCGCTCTCTGCCAGTGTGAAACACAGCAGAAAGTGTTCTCCAAGGAAATGGCATTTTGCTGTTTACCAGTCATGCCTACCCCCACGAAGCCCTGAGTAATTGTTTTGGCTTTCGTGGTGTGATAAACACCTAAAGGCAAAGAGATTAGTGTCATCACTCTCCATCTCTTTTTCTCTCCCTTTGGAGGAAAAAAAAAAAAAAACATGTCCAAATATAGAATGACGACGTTTGCAAGAATCTTTCAGTTAGTTGATGCCTAATTATGAAGACCCCAGCTAAATATTTATTTTATTAAATTAATAGCGTGACAAGTATTGGAGCAGTTTTACAACCACTTAAACTCGTGTTTACATCTTGTGTAATTACAATTCATAATTGGGAAAGCAGTCAAATCTAATGCATTCTGATCAATGGTTCTCCTTCTGTCGAGTAGACCCAGCATAACTCGTTACAGTAAATGATTCTTAAAAAGGGGGCTTCTGTACCTAGAGTTCAAACCTGATTTGGGGAAGGCAATGAGGGATTCTAACAGTGAACTGCTTTAAATTATGTGTAAGAATTTGTGTATATATGATTTTTTTTCTGGGCAGAGGATCTATTTTACCTTCTCTCTGTCTTTTTTAAATTAATAGAAGGCCTACAAATGTAAGAATGACTGCTCTAAAACCTAAGATTAAGATTTACCCGTGGGCCGGCCAAGTGGCGCGATGGTTAAGAACTGGCTTGGGACGCCAGAGGACCCCGGTTCGGATCCCACATATGAGGGCCAGTGACACTGCCCTCTACAGCTAAGATGCTGAACAACAGCTCAACCTGGAGCTGGGCTGCCGTGAGTCGCCGGCGACGGCGTAGGCTGCAGCCCCTGTGGCAGTGGGTTGCCATGGGCTACCGTGTGTAGCCAGCAGCCAGCGTGAGCGGCCAGCAGCCACAGTGAGCAAGCCGGCAACTGATCTGCCTCACCAGGGAAGAGCACAATGATTGTGCCAACTTGGGCCAGTGAAGCAACGTCCTCCACAACTAGACTGAAGAACAAAACAACAGCAACTTGTCTGTTCCTCTTCCCCCAATTCCCCAGCACTGTTCCCATCCCCCAATTCCCCAATTAAAAAAATCTTAAAAAAAAAAAATTTACCCAAACTGTAGAAGGTCTCTTTAAATAATACATTGTTGACAGGGGATGTGTGAAAATAGTGTGTAGGTATTTGTAAGCACATGTTTTCCAGCAATCCACTGATCATTCATTCATACTGACCTTCTCTCTCCTAAGCTGCTAAGGGCATCCAAATTCCCTTTCGTAGATATGTATTTTAATATGGTCATGATTGTTCTGGAAGCCAGGTATGAAGTAAAAGTGAAAATGGCCCAGATCCAGAGTGTAGCGTGAGTGTCAAATGATCAAAATGTCTTGGCAACTTTGGTGTATTTCTCATCGCAGCATGTAGACCAAAGGAGGCTCACATCCTGCGGGGCTCTGGCTCCGTCTTCCTTCAGGGTTTGAGGGATATTGGTTCCAGCAAAGGGTCTCGAATGAGCTCTTGGGAGAATTTCAGTTCCTGAATAATTTAAAAACTTGCATTAATATTTTGATAATAAAAGCCTCATACCTCATAATCAGCTCTAATTAAATGATAACTAAGTTTTGGCATTTGGATATACATTATTTTTCATTCAGTGTGAATATGTACATATTTTCTTGTACATTCTTACTTTTAAAAACACAGCATTTTTTCATTTACAATCACATGACTGTATTATCGGTAGTGAGTGAAGACTATCTCTAATTAAAGGCAGACAGCACTTGGTTGATTTGAGACTTGACAATTAGAGTATGTTACCACAAAGATTTCAATCCTGTCACCTGAAATATGTCAGATTCTGTCACCTGAAATATAATCACAATGAAAATGTCGGAAATAAGGTAGGTTCTGATTCTGTTGTCAAGGTTGTGAGAAGCACAACCCACTCTGATTTCTCTATTGCAGACATTTTGCTAGAA